GGTGGTGACAGTGGACGGAACTCCGAAACGCGCAACCCACCCGCTAACGAAGGTGAGTGCGACGGTGTCAGCTGTGATGTCACACATTGGAAAGGCCTTCAAGACACACAGAGCAAGCAGACCCGCTTGAGGTAAGCCTGTCCTAATTAGCATATTGGCTTTCCGCTCGTGTTTCACGCCGTATCTCCCGAACGCAGCAGTTTCCGACAACTGAAGTCGTCACTCAAAGCAAAGGAAACGTCACACAACTGGATTGACTCTCTCCCTCTGATTCCCCTCGGTATACGAACAGCACTCAAGATCGACCTCAAGTGCAGCGCAGCGGAGCTAGTCTACGGTATATAATCGAGGTGACGAGTCTGCCGAGGCGAATACTTGTCTGTGGTTGTGCAGAGGGCAAAGGTAAGTGGGCTTGTGGTCAGTAAGTATGTAGAACTCACGACCTTCGACGAAGTGGCGGAAATGTTTAATGGCCAGGTAGATTGCGAGGAGTTCGCGGTCGAACACACTGTATCTGGTCTCTGCAGGACGCAGGGCTTTTGAGAAAAATGCTATCGGCTGCCAAGTGTCACCTATTTGCTGCTGGAGGACAGCTCTCACTGCGCTATCGGACGCATCGCTCATGATGCAGGTTGGGGCATGTGGTTTGGGGTGGGCCAGAAGCGTTGCGTTTGCCAGGGCGTCCTTGATAGTTGTGAAAGCAGTGGCGGTTTCTTCATCCCAAACTAAGTGGCGTGTGCCATCCTCCGAGATGCTGAGCAGCTTGTTTAGAGGCTCCAAAATGGCGGCACAGTTAGGGATGAAGCGGTGGTGGAAATTGATTAGACCGAGGAACTCGCGTAGCTTTCGCAGTGAGGTAGGTTGAGGGAATTCTCTGACGACGCGTACCTTTTCCTCCATTGGGTAGATTCCCCTTGGGCCGACGCTATGTCCCAGGAAATCTAACTCGGATACCCCTAGAACACACTTGTTGGGGTTGACTACAATCCCGTGGTCCCTGAGCCGTTCCAGGACTTGACGAACGTGTACCTCATGTTCTGCAGGGCTGGCACTGGCAATGAGGAGATCATCAATGTACGCATAGCAGAATGAGAGTCCACGCAGGACCTGGTCTATGAACCGTTGGAAGGTCTGGGCAGCATTCCGTAAACCGAACGGCATTCGGACAAACTCGAACAACCCGAATGGAGTAGTTACGGCTGTTTTGTGTACATCGGACGGTTCGACCAGGATTTGGTTATACGCGCGAACTAGGTCAATCTTGGAGAATATGCGAGCTCCATGCAGGGACGCGGAGAAGTCTTGTATGTGTGGAATGGGGTAACGATCAGGAACTGTGACGTGGTTGAGGGCACGATAATCCCCACACGGTCGCCAATCCCCAGGTGTTTTCTTGGGGACCATGTGCAATGGGGAAGCCCAGTTACTGGAAGACGGTCTGACGATACCTAACTCCATCATGTGATGAAATTCATTGCGTGCTATCTCGAGGCGTTCTGGAGCTAACCGTCGTGTCCTCCCTGATACAGGGGGTCCTGTGGTGGCGATGTGATGTGTTACTCCATGTTTCGCGGGCCTCCTTATGTTGCCGGGTTGAGTGATGTCTGAGAACTCCGCCAGTATGGAGTCAAATGGAGAGGCTGGCGTTCTGGTTGGCAGGGTGGGGCTTGATGTCACAGCCTGTGAGGTGATACCCCTGACCATGAGACGGGTAGTGGAGTCTACCAGACGGCGTTTGATCATATCCACTAGCAGGCCATAGTGCTCGAGGAAATCGGCGCCTAGAATAGGAGTGGCTGTCTCGGCAATCACGAAAACCCAGCGGAGAGTGCGGCGGAGCCCTAGATTGAGGGTGAGGGAGCGTGTTCCGAATGTAGGGATTGCTGTGCCGTTCACAGCTTGGAGTGTGAGGTTGGGATGGGGGGATTTGCGGTCAGTACGAGAGGGGGGAATGACGCTTACTTGTGCACCCGTGTCTACCAGAAACCGGAGCCCCGTGGAGCGACTGGGTTGATGGCCGGCGTCTGTCGCCCCTAACGACCGGCCCTGAAGTTTTCCGATTTGGTACAGGGAGGGGTACACTTCCTGGCTCTGTCTCCAAAGCGGGTGTGGTACCAGCAGAGGCCCTCGCGTTGAGTGGCGGGCGGTGGTGTTGGTCTGCGGAAACGCTGTCGACGGGGAGATGGCGAACGTTGATGAGCTGTCCGCTCCCGCGAGAAGAGTGTTGTCACCAGCTCCTTGAGACGGTCTACTTCAGTACGGAGCGACTGCACCTCGTCGTAGGCGGGCGGGATAGCTGGCATAGTGGGAGGTGCTACTTCCATGATTCGGTCGGCGAGCTGAGAGAGATCCTCGAGGCTGGTGGTGTCTGAGGTAGACGCTAGGACCATGCGCACGTTTGCTGGGAGACGCTGTAGGAAGAGTTCGCGCACGAAAGGACCGTCGGCGGCCGCCGCTCTACCTCCCAGCAGTTGCTCCATCCTGCGTAGCAACTGTGAAGGCCTTCGGTCGCCCAGTTCTTCCGTTGTCAGGAGTTGTTGCAGCCTGCGTTGTTCGGAGGCTGCCGTGCGTCGTACGGTCGAGTTTCAGGCGGACGAAGTATGAGGTCGCGCACCTCCGTAGCAAACTCGGGCGAGAGCGACGCCACGATGTAATCGAACTTGGTCTTCTGTTGTGTAATCCCTCTTGTGGCGAACTGGGCCTCGACCTGAGCGAACCACACCTCGGGGTCCGACGGCCAGAACGGCGGAAGTTTAAGGCTGACCGCCGCGACTCTGGCGGTTTCTGCCGTGCCTTCTCCGTCAGACATAGCTGCCGTGATGCCCAAGTGCGCGTGCTGGCCTGCACGTCGTGGTCACCAATGTGGTAGGTTGACACCAAAATCTCCTTCTGACATACACAGACGACAACGCCAATATATACACCATCGAATGTTTTAGAATGTTCTGCGAGACTACGTGACTATGTTCAGGTACAAGTTCAGCTGTCATAACATCGCTACACCCTCATTCTTGCTATTCGGAACGGACTGCAGGGCCCCCACTGAAGCAGCATTACTACCAGCAGAGGAGGTTGAACCAGCGGACATCACAGACTACCGACAAGAGATGATACTGGCTCTTTCCAATGCTCGCAAGTTAGCAGCAGAATCTATCCAAGAAGCACAAAAGAGGTACAAACGAAACTACGATCGAACCGGCCGTACAACGACGTACCGGTTGGGAGAATGGATACTGATACGATTTCCCCAGGAAGAGACTGGAGCCAATCGCAAGTTGTCGCGACCCTGGCATGGACCTTACCAGGTGACCAGCAGCAGTGACACTGGAGTCACGGCAGTTAAAGTCTATTTTCCTGATGAAGGACCTATACAAGTGCATCAGTCGCGTGTCAGTCGATGTCCCGAAGCATTTCCCGCCGGCTTCTACTGGTATGGGAATCGACGTGCAGGACCAGGACGTCCACCTAGGTAGATTGAGCAACTGTTGTCGGACTCGGATGGAGCCTCTGGAGAGACACCCAATGACACTTCTCCACAGGGAACAGAGGAGCCTACTGATAGCTCTACACTGGAGACAGGTGGTGTCAATGCTCCACCAGACGAAACTCCGGATATAGCCTGAAGTGCTTAGCGAGGAACACTCACCTGATGTACCAGGGGAGATCAGCGATGATCCGAGTGATTCCTTAGAAGACGAGGATGCAAGTGTGACAGATGATCACGCAATGGAGGGAGTACCAAAGAGCAGCACCACGACTGAATCAGCCAAGTCGCCCAAGACAAGAAATGAATCCCAAGGAGCTACTGAGAATGTATCAAGATCAATGACTAGAACCCGTACAAGGAAAGTAAAGCCACCTGACCGTCTGATGCTCGTGACGCTCGGGACGAGCTTGTCTGAGACCCTGGGGTATGTAGCCGGCCAGAAGGAACTGGACTGTCAAGACTGAGTATTATAGTCCTATACTGTCATTCGTTACTCATACCATTGTATGATACTTGCGTGGGTGGATAAAAGCTGGAATGCGAGGTCTATCACGCGTTTCTTATCAGATTGTGTGTAAACCACAGTTATGACAGTGTCTATAGAAGATAGAACATACAGGATGAACGTAGTCTGAAGCGTTCACTATAGTCTATGGCAGATAGAACATTCCCAGCTAGAAACGACGAAGTACGGGTCTAGTCACGTCAACGCTACTCAGCAACACTGGGTCAACAACTGGAGACGACTGATCCATTCAGAACGAAGAGCCAGAAGATGTCGCGCGCCCGCTAGCGCTTTCGGGGTGGTTGCAAAAGCAGCAGCAACAGAGAGGGCGGCGGCGGGCCGGGGCTTTCTTGCGTGCTTTCTCGCTTGGGTGCGCGCGGACTAGGTAAAGCCGGTCGGGTTGCCCACATACGGAAGCATCATAATTATGTACGATGTCGTAATGCTTGTGGTTTACGTGACGCACTCGTGGCTCCAACACTCGGGCTGCGCCCTCGTTAGTCCTGCGTCGATTATTCCAGAATAATTTCAGGAATAATAGGTCCCTCTGGGAATAAGAATAATTCCAAGAATAATAGGTTGAAAGTTTCCAAGCGAGCGACGAGCCGGCAACGGCGGCAACTCGCGGAAGGGCGAAGTGCGAGTGGACGCGCGTCACGCGCACGAGTGGGTCAAAACGGAACGGACTCCGACTCGGACAGGGAATCATGGATAAATACCACGTGGATAAAATGGCGTCGACTTCCCATCTGGAAGTATAGTACTGTTTTTTTCATTTTTCAAGCAGAATAATAGGTAAATTCCTGTGAATAATGGGTAAACTTTAAAGAATAATAGGCATATGGAGTAGGAAATTCAGAATAGAATATCCGGACAAATTGTGGGAATAATAGTCTCAGGCCTAGCCCTCGTGTTCTAACGGAGCCACTCGTGCGTCACGTAAACCACGCGCCGACATCGTACAAAACGTAATTTTGATTTTTGACTAAGACTAAGACGTTTTATGAACGGCAGGCTAGGGGATTCTAGTTTTAAGAGAGGAAACAGTAGCAGTCATTCTTACTTGACACAGCACCTAATGTAGCCACAGTAAGAGAGGTAGCATTTCCAGGTCCCACTCTGGTGTAGGCTCTCACAGAGAAGATGAATTCAGTGGCCTCCTCAAGGTTGCTCTCTGTGGTGAAATTAGTGGCCAGAGCAGAGGTGTTCACTCTAGTCTCAGGCTCTGAGGAAACTGTTTGTCTGTAGGAAACCTCATATGCTATGATTATTCCATTAGGCATCAGTGGTGGCTCCCATGTCAGGGTTACTTGAGACGAAGAGGGAGATGCCGTGACTGCACCTACTGGACCTGGAACTAAACAACATTTTACACGCACCTAATGTAGCCACAGTAAGAGAGGTAGCATTTCCAGGTCCCACTCTGGTGTAGGCTCTCACAGAGAAGATGAATTCAGTGGCCTCCTCAAGGTTGCTCTCTGTGGTGAAATTAGTGGCCAGAGCAGAGGAGTTCACTCTAGTCTCAGGCTCTGAGGAAGCTGTTTGTCTGTAGGAAACCTCATATGCTATGATTATTCCATTAGGCATCAGTGGTGGCTCCCATGTCAGGGTTACTTGAGACGGAGAGGGAGATGCCGTGACTGCACCTACTGGACCTGGAACTAAAACAACATTATAAGAAAGGTACTGATAATAGTATGTTAGACATTAGCTACCATCTTCCAAAGTTTATTTGTGGTGGGGTAACTGTATGGTCCCACGTTTCCCATCTCATTCACTACAGCTACTGTAATGGAGTAGTTTGGTGTATGGAGTGAGTCCAGTCAGCATTGCCTCAGTTGATGTTACAATAATTCTCAGTTTGGTTTATAACTTCAGAGCAGCACTGACACTGCAGTGTACTTCACTGAGAATTTAACAGACAGATGACTGACTGGACCGCAGGCTCTCAGGTGGTCCCATTGGACTGAGATGACTGTTGAACTCACTGCTTCAGCTGTGACATTCACTGATAGGTCTGATTCACCTGAATTGGAGAGGGAGAATTATTTCCACACAAATACCCTGTAATCACAAGGGTGATGGAAACTAACATGAATTGGCCCTAGTATATTTTCGTATTTCCATACCTAGTTTAAAAATAAATATCTTTGACATTCGAGAGAGGTGCTCTGAGGTAGCTTCAACAGAAAATGTGTAGTTATAACATTCAGTGAGATTTGTAATCAGAGCATGAGTAGAAGATCCAGGTACACTCTTACTAGCAGTACTATCAGTCATATTACTCTTAGTCGTGTTGCTGTCTCCATGACTGTAGTGTACTACATATCCAGTCACTGTGGCTCCTCCTGATGGCTGACTCCACTCCACTATCACTGACGTAGCTGATGTCTGTACTACTAACAGTAGAGTTGGACTCCCAGCAACTATGACAAAATCAATTATTGTGTCACTTTGATCATGAGAGGACAGACAAACCTTTCAGAGAGAAACTGTGTGAAGCATTAGACACTCCATTAGATGCCATACAACCATACACATCTCCATGAGTTCCATTTGTACTATTAACCTCTGCGGAGAAAGTATCATTACCTACCCACTCAACACTTCCCTTTCCACTAATGTTCTTCATGTTCTCCACAACACCAAATGGTCCAGTGACAGACATTCTCAGTGGTCTGCCTCCAGTAGACATGCAAATCACTCTGAATTTCCCATTGCCCTCTCTCAGCTTTCCAATCTCTCTGTACTGACAAACTGCACAAAGAGAGAAACTTTCATTAAAAAAAAACAAAAAAAAAAAAACAAAAAAAAAAAAAAAAAAAAAAAAAAAAAAACCCCCCCCCCCCCCCCCGCCCCCCCCCCCCCCCCCTCTCCCCCCCCCCTCCCCGCCCCCCCCCACCCCCCCCCCCCCCCCCCGCCCCCCCCGCCCCCCCACCCCCCCCATCCCCCCCCCCCCCCCCCCCCCCCCCCCCCCCCCCCCCCACCCCCCCCCCCCCCCCCCCCCCCCCCCCCCCCACCTCTCCGCCCCACCCCGCCACCCGCCCCTCCACCCCACACCGCGCACCCCCCCCCGCCCCCCCCCCCCCCCCCCCACCCCCCCACCCCCCCCCCCCACCCCCCCCCCCACCCCCCCACCCCCCCCCCCCTCCCCCTCCCCCACCCCCCCCCCCCTCCGCCCCCTCCCCCCCCCCCCCCCCCTCCCCCCCCCCCCCCCCCCCTCCCCACCCCCAACCCCCCCCTCGCCCCCCCCCCCCCCCCCCCACCTTTCCCCCCCCCCCCCACCCCCCACCCCCCCCGCCCCCCCCCCCCCCCACCCCACCCCCCCTACCCCCCCCCCCTCCCACCCCCCCCCGCGCCCCCCCCCTCCCCCCCCCCCCCCCCCCCCCCCCCCCCCCACCCCGCGCCCCCCCCCCCCACCCCCCCCCCTCCCCCCCCCCCACCCCCCCCCCCCCCTCCTCCCCCCCCCACCCTCCCCCCGCCCCCCCCCCCCCCCCCCCCCCCCCCCACCCCCTCCCTCACCCCCCCCCCCCCCCCCTCCCCCCCTCCCCCCCGCTCCCCCCTCCCCCCCTTCCTCACCCCCCCCCCCCTCCCCCGCCCCCGCCCCCCCCCCCCCCCCTCCTTCCCCCCCCCCCCCCTCCCCACCCCCCCAGCCCCCTCCCTCGCCCCCCCCCCCCCCCCCCCCCCCACCCCCCCGTCCCCCCCCCCCCCGGCCCCCCCCTCTCCCCCCCCCCTCCCACCCCCCCCCCCCCCCCCCCCCCCCCCCCCCCCCCCCCCACCCGCCCCCCCCCCCCCCCCCCCCCGTCCCGCCACCCCCCCCCCTCCCCCCCCACCAACCCCCACCCCCCCCCCCCCCCCCCCCCCCCCCCCCCCCCACCCCTCCCCCGCCCCCCCCCCCCCCCCCCCCACCCCCCCCCCTCCCTCCCCCCCCCCCCCCCCGCCCCCTACCCTCTCTCGCCCCCTCCCACCCCCCGCGCCCCCCCCTCCCCCCCCCCCCCCCCCCCCCCCCCCCGCCCACCCCCCCCCCCCCCCTCCTCCCCCCCCCCCATCCGCCCCCCCCCCCCCCCCCCTCCCCCACCTTTCTCCCCCTTTTCATATTTTTTCATTTATTTTTGCATAGAGTTATTTCTGCTAGCTTGTTCTAACTTCGCCCAGTGTTCTGGGTGCGTGGTGAATGGCCCTAGTACTATGACTGCTGTTTGAGTATAGACTAGTATCAAAACATTACAGAGGTGGCATCACGAATTCCATCTAGCGCGTTGTACCTATTGGACATGGTTCTTGACTAATGGACAAGTTCTCTCCAGGTATTAATAGGTTCTCTGCAGGACTGCACTAGACATTTTATTTATACCTCTTAACAACACACCCCTCTGACCCTTCTTTGTGCCAAGTACAGATATTGTTATCTCTTAGATAGCTATCAGTGCTCAAAACAATTTGCTTTATTCATGGAATCTGGGATCTTAATGGTAATATGGCTGAAATTCATAACAACTGAATGGGGACATCTGTCAGCACCATTACTTTTTGTCTGGCCTGAAAGATGCATATAAACATTATTACAGCATAGTGACTAGTATTTGAGAGTCTCTATATATAGGAATGACGCGGAATCCGGAAATCTCACGTGATCCGCGTACAAAACGACTAAAAACTCGGTGAGAATCACTCCCTAGGCCTTAAAAACATACTAGCAACAGTCTACGGGCCTTGTTCGTCCCCCCCTAGGTTGTAGCCTGATTACCAAAGCCTGCCCATGAAACCACAACCATGTGCAATAATCTAATTACATCCTTGTTGAAGACGAGGTGAATGAGGTATCTAGCCCCTGCTTCAGGCACTAGCAGCCCCATTAGCGACTACTTTCAACAGTCGTTGGTAGCCTATCTACAACATGCCCATGAACATCAGAGTGACTGTAACAATAAATGCAGTGTTGTCATAAGCTGTTAAAAATAGTGGAAACAACTGGAAAAATCATTTCTTCAAAATGGAAGGGGGATATAGGGATGGCTTGAAGCACCAAAAAGGAAGAAACACTTTTTCCACTTGTTTCCACTATTTTGAACAACATTGCATTTATTATGACAGTCACTCTGCTGTTCATGGGTATGTTGTAGATAGGCTACCGTACACAAACTGTGTTGAAAGTAGTAGCTAATGCTCGGGGCTGCTAGTGCCTGAAGCAGGGGCTAAATACCGCTTTCACCTCCTTCAACAAGGATGTAATTAGATTATTACACATGGTTGCGGTTTCATGGGCGGGGGAACAATGAAGGCCATTTGTGCGCCCCCGCATGGCTCCACCGAGCAGACTCTGGCAAGTTGCTCTTCGTGCAAATCAAGAGCAAGTCAGCCAGTTGGAAATGTGCACACTTACTTACAGAAGGTACTGGAGGCTGAGAGTTCCTCTGCAGGTCTGCCAACTCGCCTGGTAATACGCTCGCAAGCGAAAAAAGTGCTTGAACTGGTACTGGTAAGAATACTCACACTCCTTTTTATATCGTCAAAGCATAAGCATGTGAGTAAAATTATAAAGATAGCTAGTTTTCTCAAATTGGCAGCTTTTGATGATGAGTGCATGAGTAAAAAAGACAGAAAGATCTTACTTGGATAATGAATCCCCACAGAGACTGCATTAGAAATGTGTATAGTTTGATCTCAACACTGCAGGTGAAAACTCCCTCAATGGGAACCGAACCAATTACTCTTAGTAGAGTAAGCTTGTTGTATTCAAGTTTACGTCCTAATTCACTCTTCCATCCAAAATAGCTGGTGTGCATTCTCACTGATAACACTCAGTCGATGACCCAGCACATTTTATAGAAAACCTTTGTCTATCCGCTTGCACTTTTGAACCTGTTTTCAGTAACCCTTGGAAGTTCAGTCAATTCTTCACTTCCTATAAACTGGTGAAACCAACTGAAGCTTCTTTGAGCTCGAGTTGACCAACAGATGAGTGTATCTCCACTGCTCTGGCTAACATTAGTGATCAGAATATGTTTGAATCACATCATCAACATCATCAGACAAAGTTAGAAACAAGTCTGTAGCTATAATCACCAGAAAAGAACATTACTCTTAACTCACATAGGTAGTACTGCTAATGTGTAAGTGAGGGTATATATAATTATTGGAGCACTCACTAAAAGTGACCACGATGAAAAAATTCCAGCAGACGCTCTTAGCCACAGTACAAGGAAAATAATCACTTGCTATCAAATTAGGTACCACTGACTGCATGGTACAAGCGCGTGTTTTACAGTCACTACAATTATCATTTCATAAATAATCAGGGATGTAGGGCTGTAAAAAGAAAGGAAACTGGAAGAGACCTTTATATTATTTGTAGTTGACACAGGTTGTTGTGAGAATGTGAAGAATAACTTCTGTGTCTGGGCCACGTTCAAAAGTGCAAGCGGATAGACAAAGGTTTTCTATAAGATGTGCTGGGTCATCGACTGAGTGTTATCAGTGAGAATGCACACCAGCTTTTGCTGGGAGTTGCTCAGTGTGCTGGACTCCCAGTACAATGGACCTGCACTTCATTCCTGGTTTTCTCTCCTGTACTTTGACCTGAGAGTGCTATTGGCTGTAAACTGAACAATCTTTAGGTCGAAAGAATCTTCTAGATCTAACTAAAAGTTTATGCTAATTAGCTACTGACGAATTATCTTGAACTAGTTCAATAATTCTCTTAGCCGAATGGATCTTACCATTTATTCACAACTGATCTACACTGTGCAGTTCCTGTGTCTGTTAGCTTTGTAGGTATGCAAATTGTCCCCTTCAGGCTACCACTAGTCATTAACCCTCGGCGCGCATGCGCAGCGAGGGTTACAGTAGTCGTTCTGTCTGTCTGTCCGTCTGTCTGTCCGTCCGCGCGAGTTCTAGCACTACAGGCTACGAGGCGGCCAATGAGTGGCACCAACGGGTTGTGGACGACGAGAAGATTGATATTAATGTGGCGATTTTCCCGAAACGACTGCGTTCCAGAGATATGGCGTGAAAACAAGCGAAAAAGCCAACGCGCGGTCGATCGCGCACGCGCCCTCTCCTGCAGGCTAGCTATATAGCGCGCACGCGTAATCCACGGCCTCCTGTCAGTTTTGATCTCTGTTCCCTGTGGATAAACGATAAACATGCTGAGCAAGGTATGTTCGCAATAGTTCAGGTGGCGAGCAGTTTGTGGTTGCGGCCTTGCCTTCCCATCTATAAAACGTCTGGCGAGAGCATTGAAACACAGAAGAGCAGATAGATTGAATAAAGCAAATATGAGAGCCTCTGAAACACCTGAGCTATTGCTCTAACCGCTAATGCAACTACCCTGTGTTACGGTGAAACTCGTGTTACCGGCTCTGTCGATGACGCACGGCCCAGCATACAGCGATGCTACAACTCGCTAGTTTACCGCCGAGGGTTTGCACTTTAGTGCTTTTCATTAGCTAATTAGCTATTTTGCGTCATCCCTATATAGAGAGTCTACCGACTCTCTAATAAGCCAATGAATTGATGTGGCTGTGGCTTCACATTTTCACGCAAGAATCCGCTAACTAATTTAACGATTTTTGTCATCATGTTCTTCATCCTCTTCTCCACCCACCACTTCTTACCGGAACTGGTTGAAGCGCTTATTTCTTACACACACACACACACACACACAGAACTACTACTCAGTTACAAAATCAACACAAATAATTCTAGTCAAATCACAGTGCATAGAGTGATAGAATCAACAACCCCACCGTGCTGTGTCACCTTTACAGGTGACTCAGCAGACATAACAACTCAAACACGGAGAAAAGACAAACTAAATGAGACAGTACAAGATCTAACAGAGCAAGTCAATGGTAAGCAAGTTTCTCCACAAGGAGGCAACCACTTGAGGGACTAGATAGATTATCTGGAATTACAACCTGAAACAGATCTCTATCTGCACTGGCTTACCCAGCAGATATTCCACTCTATAGTGACAACAGCATAACACACTCACAGCCATCAGAAGCTAAATCTCCCTGTGCGGAGCTGCCAAAGAAACGCTGACTGCTCACAATGACACTTAGCTCCGGAAAATAGCAGACTTTTATAAAACCATACAGCTAGCTATCAGTATTTCAAGTATTATTAAAACATAATCTCTGTCTGACCGTCTTAGCCATGTCCCTAGAAACAAAGCTCTTTTTATTATTGACTAAACCTGCTCAGCAACTTGGTTCTCCTAGCTCACTGTATGAGGCGATCCGAAGCCTGCTTACACAGGACAGGGTGCCAAGAGCATGTGAAAATGTGCTAGCTATATATGAGTTGACTAAATCCCAGATTGCAAAAATAGAAAATTAAAAAACAAGCAACAACATTTACAAACAATAGCCTACTCAGCAAGTTCAAATCTGACGCAATTCATCCACCAACACCCAATATGAACACACCAACGTGGATCTGAATATATACACACTCTTTAAAAGCATAAGCATGTGAGTAAGGATAGTTCTCGACTTGGCGAAAAGCTGTTAATGATGAGTGTATGTCAGTAAAAAAGACAGAAAGATCTTACTTGGATAATGAATCCCCACAGAGTCTTCCTCAAAAATATCTGTATAGAGTGTTCCAACACTGCAGGTGAAAACTCCCTCAATGGGAATTGTATCCATTTCTTTAAGTAGAGTAAGCTTGTTGTATTCAAGTTTACGCCCTATTTCAATCTTCCATCCAAAATAGCTGGGTTTGTTTTCAGTAACCCTTGGAAGTTCAGTCAATTCTTCACTTCCTATAAACTGGTGAAACCAACTGAAGCTTCTTTGAGCTCGAGTTGACCAACAGATGAGTGTATCTCCACTGCTCTGGCTAACATCAGTGATGAGAATATGTTCAGTTTGAATCACATCATCAACATCATCAGACAAAGTTAGAAACAAGTCTGTAGCTATAATCACCAGAAAAGAACATTACTCTTAGTTACATAGGTGCACCAATGAAAACTGCTTGTGCAGGTGAGGATGCATATGTAATTATTGGAGCACCCAATAAAAGTGACTGAGATCAATAGGAGAGCTGAAAATATTTCAGCAGGCGCTCTACAAGTAAAATAATAACTTGCTATCAATTAAGAATTGGAGATGCCTATTCTCAAATGGTCTAGCTATTCCCTTATTTTAGTAAAATCTCATGACACAAACTAGCTATATATAATTATACACCCAAATCATCACACATTAAAACATGTTTAGGATGTTAGACACAAAGATGTTGGGATGGGGTGTGAACAACTTCTCGGTGTAGGCATTTCATGTTTCCAGAATTCACCACTTAAAATATTCAATGAAGGATTTAAAGTGGGACACTAAAATGGAGACACATCTCTAATAGGGACACAATTTATTGTATCATTGGTTTCTAGAGGTTCTCATATTTGCTTTATTCAATCTATCTGCTCTTCTGTGTTTCAATGCTCTCGCCAGACGTTTTATAGATGGGAAGGCAAGGCCGCAACCACAAACTGCTCGCCACCTGAACTATTGCGAACATACCTTGCTCAGCATGTTTATCGTTTATCCACAGGGAACAGAGATCAAAACTGACAGGAGGCCGTAGATTACGCATGCGCGCTATATAGCTAGCCTGCAGGAGAGGGCGCCGCGTGCGCGATCGACCGCGCGTTGGCTTTTTCGCTTGTTTTCACGCCATATCTCTGGAACGCAGTCGTTTCGGGAAAATCGCCACATTAATATCAATCTTCTCGTCGTTCACAACCCGTTGGTGCCACTCATTGGCCGCCTCGTAGCCTGTAGTGCTAGAACTCGCGCGGACACACAGACAGACAGAAAGACTACTGTAACCCTCACTGCGCATGCGCGCCGATGGTTAATAACTGCCACGTTCAGAAGCGCAAGCGCTTTGCTACAATCCCAGACAAAGGTTTTTGCAAAGACAATCGATGTGCTGGGTTGTCGACAGAGTGTTAGCTATATGCACACCAGCATTTGCTGGGGGTTGCTCAGTCTTTAATGTAGTGGAATCCCAGTAGCTACACTGGACCTGCACTCCATTCCTGATTTTAGTATTTTCTCTCCTGTACTTTGACCTGAGACATGCCATTGGCTGTGAACTGAACAATCTTTAGGTTGAAAGAATCTTTTTCCAACAACCCGATCTAACAAAAACTATTACTGACGAATTATCTTCAACTAGTTCAATGATTCTCTTAGCAGACTGGATCTTACCTGGTGTTATTCGCAACTGATCTACACTGTGCAATTCCTGTGTCTGTTAGCTTTGAAGATATGCAAATTGTCCCCTTCAGGCTACCACTAGCCATTAGCTAATTAGCTATTTTGCTCACCTTCACTTGCTATTGCCACCCGCAATAATGTACTGAGTACACAGAGAATCCCCACAATATCCATCGGCAAACAACACGATTTACGTAGTATCTCACTTCTAGAATAACTCACAAGACCAATTCTAGGCCAGGTATATAGGCACTGCCGACCTACATAATGATAAGGGTGTGGTCAATAGGAATCGCTGAGGTAGCTCAACTACTGCCCAAGTCGCTAAGTAAACATTATTTTACAGGCAAATGCAACTGGAGCGAGGCAAAGCAACACTGCGGGCTGGCGACTGCCCTCCAGTGCGGGATCACGTGAAGCTGCCTGTCCGGTTAGTGGCATAGCTAGTAGTGGGTTTGAGAAGGAGAAAGCGTGTCCATGGGAGAAAATTCACATGCAAATTAGATATATACGGTGTGAATAAAACAAACTATGTACAATGTAATACAAATGCGAATATAAATTAATGTGCCACTGCAATGTTGTTTATCTTCTTATTATCAAACCCTTGTAAGGCGCGCAAAGCGTTTGCGACGTCGTCTCCGCGATGTCGTCTAGTACATTCCTGTTGGCACTCAGCCACTCATCCACATTGAGGTTGGCCCATCTATCATCTCTAAATAACTTTTAACCCTCGGCGCGCATGCGCTGCGAGGGTTATACTTGGTCTGTAAGTTTGTCTGTCTGTCTGTCTGTCTGCTGTTACCACGTTTTCTGCAACCACGCGCAACGAGACAACGAAGAGCCGTACACAGGTTCATCGCTACACGGGTTCATTTTACAAAATGTCGTATCGTATCCTACGAGCCGGCGTTCAAAGGTATGTGCGTGAAAGAAGCCAATGTGCTAATAGTATTCGCTTACTTCCAGGAAGTAGAAATAAACGCATGGTGTGTACACTGCGGATTGCGCACAATGATCACGCCTAAATGGCAACCGTTGAGCGAAATGGTTGCGCAGGGAAGAGTAAGGATATGTATTTGTTGCGTGTTTGTTGTGGGGTGTGTGTGTTGAGTTGGGTTGTGTGTTGATCGATGGATTTGGGCGTGTCGAGCGAGTGTGTGGTCTGTGTTGGGCGGGTGGTCTGGGAGGGGCGGGAATGTTATGGGTTGGTTGGACGGGGGGGTGGGTTGGGGGGGTTGGGGGGGGGGAGTGGGGGGGGGGGGGGTGGGGGGGGGCTTGGGAGTTGGGGTGGTGGGGGGGGGGGGGGTTTGAGGTCGTTTGGGGGGGGGGGGGGGGGTGTGGGGTGGGGTGTGGGGGGGGGGGGGGGGGGGGTTTCTGGTGCAAATACTTATTTGAGCTGGCAATCAGCACTCGTCTACATTCCGAGCGTTGTAGGCAGATGGGGGCTGACCGATGGAGAGCGCGATAGACGCCTGAAGGTGTCCGCAGTGTGACACAACAGTACATACTCGGCGGCGTGGAACCACGCATGTGACACATAGCCCAAACCACATACGTGGTTCCACGCCGCCGAGGGTTTTGCACTTCATTTAGGAGGAAATGATACTACAGTTCAGCTAAACTAAGCGATAGGTCTAACCTGCGTGTCCCCCCAGACCCCGCCATCTTCCGATATTTCTTAGCACATGATCGTCACTGCATAGGGCATCAACAAGGTGTCTATCTTCGACATCAACGGACAAATTCAATCACTTTGGTCGTACGGTAACGGTCCAGATCAGATGAAATAACCATATAAAGAGATCATAGAGAGCCCACGTGGCGTCTAGCACTAGCCAAGTCTAATGGCAGCTGTATCTATTGAATGCGCTGAGACTCGTACTTAAGAAGAAGAAGATGAAGAATAATTATTATGATGACACGAAAATCGTGAAATCGCGTATGAGCGAATTCTCGCGTGGACGACTGAAGGTGCGTATGAGGTCTTGGGGGACATGTATAGGTAGATATGGGCCTATAAATGTTCCCAGAGCCTCCAAAATTCCATAACAATTTATATAATATATAGGGGTTATAATACTAGGCGCTAATACTTTACAAGTAAATTAAAAATCCTGCGAATTTAAAAAAGAGGCATATAGGGATCGTATAAAAAGAAAGGGAGACAAGATAGGGATGGGATACATGAAACATGGGTAATGAACAGATTTGAGTACGCTGACACCCCCAACCCCATCACACAATCCCTATATATATTGTTGCCTAGTGTGCTACTCTTATAGGGGCTAAAGGTTACTAAAAGCAAGCATTCTTTCACCATGTCCCTGTTGTTTTTAGTAACATTTATACGGCCCAATTGCCTTTTAAACTCCACTTGGACTCTATAAGGGTGTTGGTTACTCAGTAATGTATTGTAAGTTCTGAGTATTGTATTGATGAATGTTTAATACTTCACGTAGGCAACAATTAATATAGGGATTGTGCGATGGGGTTGGGGGTGTCAGCGTACTCAAATGTAGCCTCGACTGAGAAAATGTAGATAAAACCACTACAAAG